AAAGAGAGAGAGACACGCATTTGCGAGGATGTGGAGAAAAGAGAACCCTCGCGCACTGTTGGTGGGAGTGTAAACTGGTGCTGCCGCTGTGTAAAACACTACGGAGGTTCCTTAAAAAACTAAAAATAGGACTACCATATGATCCAGCAATCCCACTACTAGGTATTTTCCCAAAGAAAATAAAAACACTAATTTTAAAAAATATATGCACCCCTCTGTTCACTGTAGCATTTTTTACAACAGCCAATATACGGGAGCAACCTAAGTGCCCATCCATAGATGAATGGATAAAGAAGAGACGGTATATGTATAAAATGGACATTACTCAGCCATCAGAAAGAATGAAATCTTGCCATCTGCAACACCATGGATGGACCTAGAGGACACTGTGCCAAGTGAAATAAGTCAGACAGAGAAACAAGTACCATATGATCTCACTTATATGTGGAATCTACAAAACAAAACAGAAATTGACTCAGATTCCAGAACAAACAGGTGGCTGCCAGAGGAGAGGGTGGGTGGAGGGGGGATGAATGAAATAGCTGAGGGAAATTAAGAGGAGCAAACTTCCAGTTACAAAATTAACTAGTCACGGGGATGAAATGCACAGCATGCGGAACAGAGCCAATAATATTGTAATGTCTTTGCATGGTGACAGATGGTAATTAGACTTATCATGATGATCATTTTGTAATGTATAGAAATATTATGTAATGTATAGAATATGTCATGCACCTGGAACTAACATACACCTATAGGTCAATTACACTTCAATTTTAAAAGACAGAGAGAGAGAGTATAAGGTAAAATGGTAATATTTGGGGAATCTGCATAAAGAGTATTCAAAAATTCTTTGCACTATTTTTTGTAACTTCTCTGTGAATCTGAGACTATTTCAAAATAAAAAAGTTAAAAATAAATACATGTCGGGCTTCCCTGGTGGCGCAGTGGTTAAGGATCCGCTTGCCAATGCAGGGGACACGGGTTCGAGCCCTGGTCCGGGAAGATCCCATATGCCGCAGAGCAACTAAGCCCACGAGCCACAAGTACTGAGCCCGCGAGCCATAAGTACTGAGCCCACGTGCCACAACTACTGAAGCCCCACGCCTAGAGCCTGTGCTCCGCAACAAGAGAAGCCACTGCAATGAGAAGCCGGCACACTGCAACAAAGAGTAGCGCCCGCTCGCTCCAACTAGAAAAAGCCCACACACAGCAACAAAGACCCAACGCAGACAAAAATAAATAAATAAAATAAATAAATTTAAAAATAAATAAATACATGCTTACTGAAGAAAATATGCTAAATTTAAAACCATAAAGTTAAAGAAAACATAACCCAAACACCTATTTGTTTTTGTCCCACCCATTTTTACGTGTATATTGTAAAATATATTTATTTTTAACATTATTGGTTTTATACTACATATAATCTTGTCCTGCTTTTTTCATTTATTAAATTGCGAAGCTTAAAAAATCTCAAATGTTCTTCCAGCCTACGAATATAGAGCACCTTACTGGATATTTTCACTATTGTAAACAACACCACCATAAACAAGATGACTGATATCTTTTCAAGATAAATCTTTGTGCACCTCTGATTATTGAGTTTCTGAATATATCTTAGAAATATTTCCGAATCAAAGGGAATAAATATTTTTAGGATTCTTGACTCACTGTCAAATTATTTTCCAAAAAGCAATTTATTTTCAACGTTTCTCTGCAGCCTTCCCTCTGCAAGACATATTGCTAACCTGGGGAGGTGAGAGTAACCCACAAATCACTGCATCCCCAGAAGCCTGGGAGGGAAGCAAGGTAAAAAAACAAAAACATGGGGACTTCCCTGGTGGTGCAGTGGTTAAGAATCCACCTGTCGATGCCGGGGACACGGTTTGAGCCCTGGTCCGGGAAGATCCCACATGCCGCGGAGCAGCTAAGCCCGTGCGCCACAACTACTAAGCCTGTGCTCTAGAGCCCATGTGCCACAACTACTGAAGCCCGTGCGCCTAGAGCCTGTGCTCCACAACAAGAGAAGCCACTGCAATGAGAAGCCCGCGCACCGCAACGAAGAGAAGCCCCTGCTCACCGCAACTAGAGAAAGCCCGCGCGCAGCAACAAAGACCCAACACAACCAAAAATAAATAAAATCGATTCTTTAAAAAACGAAAACAGAAAAACCCCTACATATAAGAATCAATAAGCACTCCAGGGAGGCCAGAACACCTGTGCCCCAGAAGGACGGGCAAAGAGAAGAAACTGGAGAGATGGATGTATAGACAAGATGGGCCCTCTTGGGCTTCCCTGGTGGCGCAGTGGTTGAGAGTCTGCCTGCCAATGCAGGGGACACGGGTTTGAGCCCTGGTCTGGGAGGATCCCACATGCCGCGGAGCGACTGGGTCCGTGAGCCACAACTACTGAGCCTGCGCGTCTGGAGCCTGTGCCCTGCAACGGGAGGGGCCGCAGCGGTGACGGGCCCGCACACCGCAATTAAGAGTAGCTCCCACTTGCCCTGACTGGAGAGAGCCCTCGCGCAGAAATGAAGACCCAACGCAGCCAAAAATAAATTAATTAATTAATTTTAAAAAAAAGGAAACTGCCTACAGGTTCCTGTTCTTAAAAAAAAAAAAAAGATGGGCCCTCTCCACCACGGAAACCATACCCAGTAAAGGAGACCCTCTGTGGTAATAAGTGGGAAAGGTGTGCAGCAGGAGGTGCTGGCCCAGGGTCACAACCACACACCAACCTGGGGACCACAGCCTGGAGACACACTAGTTCCACCTCTCAGCTCTCCTCCTGCTGTGAGTTACTCATCACCTGCTCCTTAGTCCCCTGAGCCTGCCGCGGTGTGATGGCTGGAGGGGAGACCGTCAAGGCAGAGCAGTGGGTGACTCGGAAAGAAAGAACCAGAGTCCTGGGAAAGCAGTCTGGGCGACTCCCAGAAACTCCTAGATTTCCTTAAGAGTTTAGAGAAATATGGTCTGGAGACACCCAAAGGCTCTGGAGAAACCCGACCTTTACGGAGAGGAAAGTAAGCATCTGGGTTCTGACGTCTAGAGCTCCCAGAGTCTGTCCCATCCCGCCTTTCAGGGAACCTGAGCCATCAGAGGACTCATCCAGAGACCTGCCTCAGGCTGAGCTGCAGTGGAAGGACCACCACCCCTCCCTCCCCCACTGCCCTGCCCCCAGCCCCTGCCAACAGGAGCACGTTGAGTTTCAATTCATCACCTTTCAACCATTCTTGATGGGCTCACCTTGACTTACATCTGGGTCCTTATACCTGATGCAATACAAGTCCTCTAACTAAAGGGATGGAAGGTCGGGGGGTGGACACAGGCCCCAGAAGCTACTGAGAGGAGACAGGAGACGATGCCTGGCAGAGGGCAGGTCAGAAGAGAGCTCGGAAGGTCTGAAATGACTCAAAAAGGCACAGCAACAGATCTTCTGGGCTTTAAGAACACACAGGTTAGGACCTGGAACCCCTGCCAAACCCCAGTGCGCCTCTGTCCGCATTTTTCTACCATCAGCAGACAAGGTCAGCTCAGTCTTTGTCAACTTCCACCGGCCAGAATGGAAAGGTGATGGCCCCTCTATCCAAACTCACCTGTCTGCTCTGGCATGAAGAGTAACCTGTCCTTGTTCCAAACCATCTTAACAGGAAAATAAAACAAAACAAAATAAATAAAAACCTACCTACCTTTATTTATTTATTCCTTCACAATGATAGTATTACATCAAATTTCAAATTTCCAAATGCCTCCATTTAGTATCCCCTAGAGAAAGGGAGTGACTACTTTTTTTTTTTTTTTAATCATCTGTTGACTCTGGAAATGTGACTCTACTTTTCAGTCATATCATAGGAAACCAAGACCACTTTCCGAAAGTAATATTCAAATTTCAACTAAAAATCATGAGTTTTCTAACTAGAAGTGGTTTCACAGAGAAGGGACCATAACATTGAGGGGAACCAAAGAGCCCCATCTTTTCTTTGATTTCTCTCCACTCCACTGGATTATAAAACAGAAAACCTGGAGCAGGGGGACGTAGTGAAAAGGGTGTGGGACTTGGCAGCAGTTCAGAGAACCGAACTTGGGGCCCGGCTTGACCACCACCTTAGCAAGTTACTTCTCACTGAGCCTCAGCCAACAAGGTGGGCTTTTAATCCCTGTTTGGCTTTTGCACAACTGATGCTTGTGGAAGCATTCCGCAAAGTATCCTAGAAATACTGATGGTGATGTTGATTTGAAGACAACTGTCCAAAGTGAAATTGCCTTGAGGAGAAACACTCCACTCATATCAAGAGTGGCTCTTCCACGTTCATCAGGTAGGTCACGTGCCCAGCACCCTGCCACCTAAACGGGCGAAGACAAACTAGGTCAGGGGATGTCCCCTGTCCTTCTATGGAAAGAGACGAGACACGCAGTTACTTCCTTGCCAAAATGAACAGTGCAGCTCACGGTTGGGCAGAGGCTGGCTTAGGATGGCTTCTTGATGGGAGAGGGTGCAAAATGGCAGAGATGGGGGCGGGCGGGGGGAGAAGAGGATCCAGAAGGGCCTAAAGGGAAAATGGGGGCACAGGTCTAAAGAAAAATAAAAACGAGTTCAAAATTGCTCTGCCACTTACAGTTCTATGACTTTGGGCAAAACTCAACTTCCCTCAGCTGCTTTCCTATCTAAAATGGAGAATCATCATCACTGATAACTCCGAAAGGGCTACTGGGAGGATAATATGGGTAAAACTGCACAGAATGCATGGTAGGCGCTCAAAGAACCTTGGTGGATTACTTCTCTCTCCCATTCGTATTCTTCAGGGCAGAAGCAGGTTAAAATAAGCCATGTCAGGACTTCCCTGGCGGTCCAGTGGTTAGGACTCCGTGCTCTCACTGCCGAGGGCCTGGGTTCAATCCCTGGTTGGGGAATTAAGATCTCACAAGCTGTGTGGTGTGGCCAAAAAAAAGCTGTGTCCTCTCTGCATCTACTGCGGGGATGAAGCCCAGTTTTAGCAGACTATTAACACTCCAGAAAACATGGACATCACTCTGAAGGGACACACGGTTATTGTGAAGGGCCCCAGGGGCACCCTGTGGAGGGTCTTCAATCACATTAATGTAGAACTCGGCCTCCTTGGAAAGAGAAAGAGGCTCCGGGGTGACGAATGGTGGGGAAACAGAAAGGACCTGGCTATCGTTGGCACTATCCGTAGTCACATACAGAACACGATCACGGGTGTCACACGGGGCTCCCGTTACAAGGTGCGGCCTCTGAACTCTCACTTCCCTGTCCACACTATCATTCAAAAGAATAGTCTTCTCGTTGAAATCCAAATTTTCTTGGGCAAAAAATATATCCGCAGGGTTCGGATGAGGCCAGGCGTTGCATGTTCACTACCTCAAGCCCAGGAAGATGAGCTAGTTCTTGAAGGAGGTGGCAGTGAACATGTATCAAACTCAGCTGCTTGGACTCACGAGCCACAACAGTTAAAAACAAGGATACCATGGGCTTCCCTGGTGGCGCAGTGGTTGAGAGTCCGCCTGCCGATGCAGGGGACACGGGTTCGTGCCCCGGTCTGGGAAGATCCCACGTGCCGCGGAGCGGCTGGGCCCATGAGCCGTGGCCGCTGAGCCTGTGCGTCCAGAGCCTGTGCTCCGCCATGGGAGAGGCCACACAGTGAGAAGCCCGCGTACCACAATCAAAAACCAAAAACCAAAAAAAACAAGGATATCAGAAAAATTTTTGGATGGTATCTATGTTTCTGAAAAAGGAACAGTTCAGCAGACTGATTAATAGGATCTAAGTTATCCAGCTACAGAAACAACAAGTCTGTGTCTAAGCTCAGGCTGCCATAACAAACACCACAGACTATGTAGCTTATACAACAGACACTTAATATAGTTCTGCAGGCTGGCAAGTCCAGTAGATCTACTGATCTACTGATTAGTCTGTTTAGATAAATATTTCACCCATTTTTACAGACACGTACTCGAAGACCTAAGGAACCAGAAAATCACTGAAAGTCCCACAGCCAGCAACTCAAAGAGGGAGATTTAAGGGTCATACGAGACCCTCTCTGTCACTTCCTGTCACAGCTCTAGTCATCGTCTACCTGCAGACGAGCAACAGGGTGGCCCAACTCATCTGGCTCATCATCGTCCCGGTTGGTTCCCAGGCTGGCCTGTCACCCCAGGTTTGGCCAGCAGGAGTCGGTGCCCTTCAACGAAGATGGAGTCTCTGCCGGGGGTGGGGGGATGGGATGGCGGGGGGGGGGGGGGGGTGAGGACAGGAGCCGCACAAGGCTGCTGCAGCCAGCAGCTACACACAGTGATGGAGGCGCTGACGGAGGACGGCAGAGAGACACGTGGCCACGCACTTCCCAGGGGCCAGCTTTTATCATGCGGTCAGGCCAGACTGCCGTCAGGCTTGGGCCTTGGATGGCACTGTTTTGATCCCCAGCTCTGCCTGCATTTCGCCTTGACATTAGGTCACTGCCATGCGTTAAAGGCTGGTGTCAGTCAAGTGTGTCTGAGCACCAACTGAAGGTCATCTCCGCGATCTCTGCCTGCCGAGTCACACCATGCTTTTCAACGGTAGGATGTGGGCAGTGGGGTTATCGAAGTTCACAACAGAACAGCATGAGCGAGTCGGTAAGAACCAGACCCCATGGGGATAGAGGACTGTCTCATGGCGTCTGTAAAAGTGTCCACGATTATTACGCCACCCACACTAAACCAGGAGCTGCTGAGAGCTTTTGATTGCCTGACCATGTTCTCTTAGGGGGGGAGGAAGACAAAATGCTGGCCTGACATTACACCACGCTGTCACTTGAGGCAGGTACACTCAATCACTCGACATGCTCCCAGAGGCTGAGTTTAATGCTCTCGCTGACAGACAGGGCTGTGAACTCGGCTGCAGCCAGCAGTGGGGACACACTTGGGTCCCAGTGCATCGGCTGTGGCTTCGGTTAGAAAAGACCCACATCACACAGCACGCATGAGGGAGGGGCTATGAGGACATAGGCCACAGCACCGGGGAAAGGTGTCTTCCTCCCAGCCCTGCCTTATGCCCCAAGTGATGTAATGCATAAGTTTACACGATGTCCAGTGGAGGCCAGGTGTCTCTGCCAGGCTCTTGGCCTCGTTAAGGGGACTTGGTGCTTCAAGCAGCTTTTTCCTTGTGATGCCACCAACTCAACATGTAACTTGCAGGGCTTCTGTGATGAGGAGAAGACTGGGAGGGATTGGTCCCAGACCTTAAACGCTTCAGGGCAGAGGGGACACACCATGCTCCCACTCACAGGGCGTTAGCTGAGGTTAACTTCCAGAGGGCTAAGGGATGGGAGGGTGGGGACAGAAATACGCCGTGAGCAGTGAATGTGTCTGCCGCAGGTGTGCACAACTTGCTCGAGGTGATGGGGACTCAGTAGCAGAACTAGTGAGAGTCTAGCTGCTCAAGGACTTGAGACCGATAAACCTGATTTTAAAAAATCGAGATATATTGGGAATTCCCTGGGGGCGCAGTGGTTAAGAATCCGCCTGCCAAGGCAGGGGACACAGGTTCAAGCCCTGGTCCGGGAAGATCCCACGTGCCACAGAGCAACAGAGCCCGTGTGCCACAACTACTGAGCCTGCGCTCTAGAGCCCACGAGCCACAACTACTGAGCCAGCGTGCCACAACTACTGAAGCCTGCACGTCTAGAGCCCGTGCTCCGCAACAAGAGAAGCCACCCAAATGAGAAGCCTGTGCACTGCAACGAAGAGTAGCCCCTGCTCGCCGCAACTAGAGAAAGCCCGTGCGCAGCAATGAAGACCCAATGCAGCCAAAAAAAATAAATATTAAAAAAAAATCGAGATATAATTCATGCCCCCCCCACCCCAAATTCACCATTTTAAAGTGCACGATTCAGTGGTTTTCACTATGTTCACCCATTGCACAAGCAGCACAATTAGCTAACCCCAGGACATTTTCATCACCCCCGCCCCCCAAAGGAAATCTCTGTACCCATCAGCAGCCACTCCCACCCCTGATGTGCCCCACCCCCTCTTTGCTCTGGACATCAGGAAACTCGGGACAAATCCAAACAGCCTTGAGCAGCCATATGCTATCTTATCCCTAGGTCCCCACCTGCCATCGTATCTACTTTTTTCTAAATAAATACTAATTGTAACAGCCGTTACCAGGTATGAAGCATTCACACTATGACTTTCTACTACTTAATGTTCTCCTTACAGCAACGCTCTGAGGCACAGGAGCTGTAATTAGCACAGAGATTAGAGTGCCTTGTCCAAAGTCAGGGAGCTGATAGGCGTTAGAAGCAGGATTCAAACCCAGACCCACTGGCGTCAGAGCCACTCAATCATCCATTTGCATGCCCTTCACCACCTTTTTAGAACAAGGCCAAGCTGTAGACAGAAGCCGCCTCACTGCCTGGCCTGGGATTCATCTGGCAGTTTAAGATCCTGACTATACCATCAGGTGACAGCATTGCTGGGCTGGTGTCTGGCTGGGGCTGCCCTGCATTTCAGTAGCCCTCGTGCTCAGGAGGCCTGGCATGACACAGTGCTCACCATGTACCTGCTGCACGACTGAATCCACAAAAGCTCCAGGATCTCTCTTGCTCCCCACTCGGTGGTACAGAATGCTGGCTGGGAGCACTGAACCATAACCAGTGCTGCCTTCTGAGAACTCCCGGCTCTGCCTACAGTCACCTGATCAGGGGCAAGAAGCCAAGCCAGGCTTTCCAACTTTCACGGCAAAATAGCTGGACACAGCGTGGAGGATGCGCTGAGAGCCTCGGGGCCTCCACTGTGGACTGCCTGCCTTCCACCTCTGGCAAAGGGTCTCTCTGCGCTCGCTCTCCCAGACTCCCCTGCTCTACCCCTGCCTGATAAAATAGACCACTCTGGGTCTATTCTCTGGCTCCCATCTCCAAAGAGCTGCTCTGACACTATTATAAGGGAGTCTGAAGTTCGCTGCCTTTACCGCAGTGGGTTCCAGAAAGGGTGACTTGTGGTCACACTCCTCTGTTCTTTAGAACATTCCCTCCACCCTGGCCTAAGCCATCTATCTAATCCTGTCGACCTTGTCCACACACAGTGCAGTCCCAGCACCTCACAGGGGGCCTGGTACACACGAGGGGCTCTTCAAACGCCTGCTGAGTACGGAGGCTGCTGCCCGGTGCCTTACTCAGTGACCGTTATACGAAGCCCCAAGGAAAAGTGCTTCCTTTTTTCCATCACGTTTGCTGTGAATCCTGTCCTTCTTTCCTTGCCTTCCACGAGGCTCTGAGATGAATTCTGTGCTCCATCACAATGACTTCCCTTGACTGTCTTTTGGTAAAACTACCTGCCTCCTGGGGCCTTCTCTCAATTACTAGGTTCTTGGTTTTGCTGAGGAGGGTGTGGGCCTTGAAATTCAACCAACCTAAAATAAAACCCAGTTGAGCCATGAAAAGAACATGGGCCTTGTAGGTAGACAGACCTTGGTTCAAACCCCAGATGTGCCACCTCCACACCACGGGACCCTGGGCACGTCGCTTACTCTGCCTCGGTCTCCTTGCTGACCATCCTCTCACATTGTTATATGATCAGCACATGAGATATGAAACACCTGACATACAACAGACACTCAAAGGTCAGATTAGATCCCTTTTATTCATTTCATGAGAATTTTTTAAATAAACAAATTTATTCATGCTTTTGGCATCCAGGTACCTGATCTAGAAATATCCAGAAAGACATAGTATACTATGATGGAAGGGCAGTACACAAGTTCTTTCTCTCCTTCAATTAAAAAATAATTATTGAATAAACTATCAGTGGCAGGAGGAACTTGAAACATTTAAAATTTCACACCTAGATGGAAACTAAAATCCTACAAAAAGTTCATATTGTATCTTAGAATAATCTTTAAAAACATAGATCAGACCCGATATTGGCACCTCAGTCAATATGCAGGAGAAAGCTGGGCAGTACACCTGGGAGAAGAAGCCATAAGCACCCACGCGCCACTCATCCAGCTAGTGTTTCTGAGGGCCTGCTTCCTGCCCGGCACTATTCTATGTGCTGGCCTACACTCGCAGAAATGAAGGGACTTCTCTGTTCTCAACGAATCCACATTCCTCTCCAACCCCCATATTGCCATTAGAGATGGGGAGAATAAGACTCATTTTATTATAAGCCACTTCCATATTCTGGGTGGAAGCAGATGGAGAAGAAGGAAAAATAAACAGAAAACAGTAAGAGTGACTGTAAATTCTTTTTTTTTTTTTTTTTTTTTGTGGTACGCGGGCCTCTCACTGCTGTGGCCTCTCCCACTGCGGAGCACAGGCTCCGGACGCGCAGGCTCAGTGGCCATGGCTCACAGGCCCAGACGCTCCGCAGCATGTGGGATCTTCCCGGACCGGGGCATGAACCTGCGTCCCCTGCAGCGGTAGGCGGACTCTCAACCACTGCACCACCGGGGAAGCCCGACTGTAAATTCTTCAGCAAAGGAGGGTTGATAAGAGTTGGGCTTCATGAGCAATGGTACCATGGACAGATCACAAGAAGTGATGGGGTGGGGCAGGGAGGGAGAATTTTGGACTCAGGGAGGCCAATTCGAGAGCTGGCACAGCAGAAAATGACAGGGGCCACAATAAGACCACAGCAGTGGAAGGAGATTCAAAGACTAAACACTGTTGGGACTGTGTGGTGGAGGCACCCCAGCGTGAAGACAAGGGGAAAGTGGAAAATGTCTTTTGTCCTTAGAGCTTCGGGGACCAGGGGACGGCAAGGTCACTAGCAGGGGCAGAGACCTTGCTGGTGGGGGTTTCAGATAGGCCGGACGGTCTTGCTCAATGACCTTTTAGAGTTTGCAAATCACATTACATAAGGGACGGTGTCCAACATGTCCAGGTAATGCCATGTGGTTTCTTAACCGCAAAGGTTCTGAAACCAACAAACGCCCTTCTTCAAAAGACCACAGTCCCACCCGAAACCCCACTTCTGAAAGAAGCCGGGCACAACTGGCTGATCCATTTTCCTGTGTTTTCAAGAACTGCAAGCCCTGTTTTCAGTGTTGAAAACAGACCCCAAGTGACCTGTAGATACAGAGTCAGCACATCGGGTTCAGGGAAGTTGAGCATGAGTTCGTGTGTTCCTACCCAGTCCTCCAACCTTTGTACAGACCCAGCCTACCCGGCGCAGTGACGGTGTGTGCCGTGAGGATCAAAGTTATCTCGGTCACAGTGCTCTTACCTAAGCGTCAAAGGAAGAAGTGATATGAAAGGCTGCTCTGGCAAAAGGAATGGGGTACACAGGGCCACAGGAAAAGGCACTGAAGACAAAAAACTAGGGGAGATTTTTTAAAAAAATGACTAAACATCATTCTTGATGTTCACCTAGAAGCAGATTACACAACCCCACATCAGAGTATCCTCACAGAGTCCATCTTCTCCGTGATTACAACCAGGGGACAAAACTCAGCTTTTTCCGTCCTATTTTCCTACTACAGGTCACTCCCAAAGAATCCAGTTCTCTGAGAAACAGTCTACGGCTGATGGCACCACAGTCTGGCTCATCATTTTATTCTAGTTTAGCTTTGAAACATTAATTTCAGGGAAGCACGTGTACAATTCTCTCAGCTGCGTACAGACCAGA